CAACACTCATGGATGGAAACAAGTGGGAAAGGATGCCCTGTTTTTGATGGTGAGAAGGGTGATGGTGATAATGATGATAATGATGATGATGATGAATCCTCACTGCGTGACTTGCGCTTCACTTGCGCTTTATTTGCGCATTATTTGCGCAGCCCCATGTTTGACTTGCGCGGCGCTGCTGCAACACACACCTGCCCTTCAAATTACAAGTGGCGGCGGCGGTGCAGCTGACTTGATAGTCCAAGACAACTGGGATCATGCCTTACATTGAAACATTCAACGGGCTTTTTTCCCGGCTCAAATGAAAACGACAAGCTTCGGGGTCCAACTCGGAAAGTTGCTTTTGTGGGAATCCAAAGCTCCACGAATTGCCTTCAAAGGGTCCTGTTCTCCCAAGGGTCCCGTTCTCCCAAGGGTCCCGTTCTCCCAAAAGCAAAGCGTTGCTCACACAAAAGCTTTTCCCAGGCTGTGTTCCTTGTTTTAGGGTTTGGAGAGAAACAAACCTTTGGGGCTTCCACACGACATTTGGGGCTTCCCCCAAGGAAGATGAGTCTGGGCTGGCGGCTTTGCTTCTTGCCCTGGAGCACCGCATGTGCACCTCGAGTGCCAATCACCACTTGAGACACACACTCACACACAGATTGTTCTGACCTGCTGAGTGGACTGGCTCGCCCAAAAAACAGCTTTTGGCCAAACCTGGCGTCGCCGGCCATCCGAATCCATCATGGGATCATGACCCGCCATCTCTTGGAAGCTGAAACCTCGCACGTGGTCCATGTGAAGTCAGTAAGCATTTGCTCAGTGCCTGGAGGCCTTCACCCGGCCCATTTTCATGAAATGTTATGACCTCACACGCTTCAAACACACACCCCGATGTGACCAACTCCAAACGCTGCCTAGGAGAGGGGCATGTAGGACATAGGCTTTGTGGCTTGTTTAGCTGGCGACGACAGAGCCTGTGAGAGAAGAGAGCAACAACCAGTGCAGCCAGAACTAGCAGCATCATCAACAACAGCCGCGTTGTGAACCTGACTGACATTGATTCTCGAGAATCTGTATATGTATATATATATATATATCAGATGTCATGCGCCTTGTGGGAACTTTTTCCCAACGATCCAAGTCCACTATCCCTGCGGGGACATGATTTTCCAGCCTAAAACCGGCGTCAATCACGTCTCCCCATCAAGGACCTCCCGATCGGGGCTTCGCGCCGAGCTCGAGGCTCTTTACATCATCAGACCTAAGGCTGAAAAGACAAAGCACAGGGATCCCTTTCATATGGTTTCCCTGCATATTCCTGTTTGAGAGGGAGGTTGGTCTCCTTTCTGCATTGGCCTGTTTTTCTTGAAACTGTTATAAGACAAAAAGAGATGTGTGCTTGAGTCCACCGAGGCCCCACCAATCGGACTTCGCACATGGCTGGGAAGAATCACCCGCCCCTTTTGGCTGGAGGTCTAAGGCAGGAAACTCGAATTCTTCTCAAACAGTGGGGTTACAATGAGAGATTGCAATTACTTGCGGCGGCGAGCAAAATTAAACGCGCACTATGAAACAACATCTCGTTGGATGCCGGAGGACGTGGCAAGCCTGCTTCACCCACAGCTGTTCTCTGGCCATTAATGAGGCAAACAATCCAGTAGCACACAAAGCGTCGCAGCAAGGCACAAAAGCCTTGAGCCAATGACAAGAGAAGTGCTGACTAGACTCCTTGAATGAGGGAATGACCCCCATAAATCATCTCTTGTGGTTTCCTTCAAGGGGGTCCCTAGGTTCATTCATTTCCTACTGAGCACCAGCTAGTTTTTTGAATCACCTACAGCCCGGCAGTCAGGTTGTAGCTAACAACGAATCAGCAAACCTGTTTCTGATTGGCGCAACCGTAATTCCTGGGAAGCTCAGCTAATGTTCACAAACCGGCTCTGTTGACAGGGGGGTGTTCCCCTCCAAAGTGATATATCCCAGCAAAGGGGGGACACCCCCTATTAATGAAACAGGAGTTAACATTAGTTCGAACTCGTCAATTTCCCAGTTTTCCCTTCTTATTTCTGAGTGTCGTGAGAAATGTCCTAGTTTGTATTGAGATCATCTTCCCAGAAGGTGTAAAGTCCCCACACTGGAGAAGTAAGTGCTACAAAACAACCCCACCGGGTACCATCCACAAAAGCTCACACCTTTCTAGCCGTGGGGTCGGACAAGGTACGCTGGGTTTCCGCGGCTGTCGGCTTGCCTGCAATGGTTTTCAAACCTCCACAAGAGATATCTGGAAGGCCAGACTCAAAGGAAAATCAAAGTCCATTTTGGGGTTGGCTTAGGGCGACTCTCGCTTGCTGTTTACTGAACTTGTATTCCCAAAATATTTGAAGTCCAGGAACTCAGCAAGTTTTGTTCAAAACGTTTTGGTTGGAATAGCTGTTCAAAAGTTTACGTTGAATCCACTTGTTTTCACTTCCCTCGACACAAACCCAAACAGGTTGGGACCACTTGAACTGCTCTTTGCGCCTCAAGCATCTTGGGACCTCACAAAGCCAACTCCGTTTTGAGGCCCAAACCCTTCCAATGGAGGTCCGGTTCGACCCCTTCAACGGCGGGCCCAATGATGCTTAGTAGAAAGAAGCCTTCAAGAAAGCTTGCACACATCCAAACAGGAGCAACCACAGCAGTCAAGCCAAGCATAGCGTACTTAGTAAGTGGTTAGTAAGCCTGGTTATAACCCACTTAGGAAACTCTTATAACCCTGATAAGTGAGTGAACAAAATCCTGCACCAACACCTGGTTTATGAGGATTCCCTTGTAAATGCCAACAAGCGTTAAGGTGTCAAAGCCGTGCGAAGTGGATTTGTCCATCCACAGTAGAACTAGTTGGGCACTCACAAGCACAGCCTTTCGATTTTCCAACAGGCACCTAGAGCGCTATGAGTGTGCAGGCAAAATGCCCCAGGCAACATGCTCCAAGTAACCATGGTCACTTCCTACGTACCCTGCCCCTCTAAGTGAAAGGCTACAAGCAAGTTGCCATCTCTCAGCCCCAGGCTGGCCCAACGGAGGTAGCGGAGCCGCAGGCCTAAGAATTCCAAGCCACTTTTGTCTCGAGAACCGGTGTTAGAAGGCGCAAACAACATGATGGTGCTGTTGTTTTGATACATGCGCACAAAACATGATAGATGGATAGATGGGTAGATGGATAGATAGAAGATGGATAAATGGATGGATGGATGGATGGGTGGATGGGTGGATGGATGGATGGGTGGATGGATGGATGGATAAATGGATGGAGATGGACAGATGGATAGATGGATAGATGGATAGATGGATGGATAGATGGATAGATGGATGGATGGATACATGGATAGATGGATGGATGGATAGATGGATGGATGGATGGATGGATGGATGGATGGGTGGGTGGATGGGTGGGTGGATGGATGGGTGGATGGATAGATGGATAGATGGATAGATGGTTGGATGGATGGATGGATGGATGGATGGGTGGATGGGTGGATGGATGGATGGGTGGATGGATGGATGGGTGGATGGATAGATGGATAGATGGATAGATGGATGGATAGATGGATAGATGGATGGATGGATACATGGATAGATGGATGGATGGATGGCTGGATGGCTGGATGGCTGGGTGGCTGTGACTCCTTTATTGGGTCTCGGTATCCTTTCTGGCTAGTTGTTTTAGAAAGAACCCACTTGAAATCGAACCACGTTTTAGGGGTGCCGCCATTTTGAGACAAGGCCACAAACACACATGAATATGAACGGCAAACAAAACACCCTGTAAATATCATGCATATCTATATACAAATACATACATATGCACCCTCCTCAAACCTGCGCCTCTCGTTTTAGATAGGTGAAAGCAGAAGTGGGCTCGGCTACAATGCTGGCAGACTTAATTGCAGATGATTCATTGAGACCTTGCCACCCCTATAAATATTGCCAGGTTCTACTTTCTTGCAGTTGGTTAGTGTTATTCCTTATCTTGATCCTTTTTCGATCATTTCATACATATCTTGGTCATGACTTAATCTATTTCAACACAAAATAGTTTGAACACCGCATCAAGAGTTACATAACGCTTGTAAATAGATCTGAACCATAATCTTTCATACATGCATCTCTGAAGTGTTCAAAACATGTCAGCCAATAATTCAACACCTGCTTTCAAAAAGAAATCCTGGTGTTCTCTCATATTGCTAGTTTTAACAATGAGTCCATAATAAACTAGCCTGTTCATAGTCTTCATCACGACTGCTATCTTCACTCAATTGGCTGTAAAACATTCTGTAAGGGTACCGGTGCAAGCGTATCAAACATAAAGCAGGGGGTGTTCTCCTCCAAAAGTGACAAATCCCCACTAAAACCAGGGACACCCCCATATTAATAAACAGGGGTTTATTACTCCGGGGTCAACATTATTTGCATTGTTTACAGTGTGTTGTTCAATATCCGGGGGTAGGTGTTGGATGTCCCAATGCTGAGCTGTCCACCGTATTTACCTCGCACAAGTGCAAAACGATAATCAGGTGCGCACCCAAACAGGAATGCCTGAAAGCAGACGCTTTAACGCGCCTTCGCGATTGAAGATTCCCATTGAATCTGAAATCCATGGGGCCCCAAAGCGACTTCCAGCGCTTTTGATTCATTTTGGATCGATTCAAGATTTCCACTCTTGTTCTTGAGCTACCTAAGGCCCTCAGCTTTGGTAACCAGACTCAGACAATTCTCCTGGCCAGTGATGCCCAAACCTCTTAAGGACTGACATTTCTTGAGCTGAGGCAGCCGAAAACTTGGCCAGGATCTCGCGTGATGCGAAATCTCAAGGGCCTGAAAATCAGGAAGCCCCTGGATGGAAGATCTGATCTGGACATGCCTCAAAGGTGAGTCACAGTTGCTTGCGCGCAGGCTGTACAGCGTCTGCCATTGTGGAAAAGCCCTGCCATGATGTTATTCAGAGGGATTCCTATCCCTCCAGTTTTCTGAGGTCATGGAGACTCCGCAGCTCATTTCCCGCAATGGCGTTCGAAAAACCAGCCCCCTTCAGTTCTCAGGCGGCACGTCAATGGGTGCCCAGGTCCTGATGGGACGCTTAAAAGGGTCAGGTAAAAGGGCTGGGGTTCATGTGCACCAAATAGGTTGTCTCCGCAAAAAGCTACTTTTTGTGGGTTTAATTGATTTCAACCAAACAGATAGAGCCTAAGATCCAACCCAATAGCAATCACTGTGAACCAATCTTGCTAGTGAGCCAGGAAACTTCAGCCGGTTGTGCCAAGTTTGTCAGCGGTGTGTCACTTCCACCAAACGCAGTTAGCGACGACTGATACACTTGGTGTCTCGAGGAGGGTGGAACTGAATGATGACCCCATATTGACCAACCCCCAAAAAACAAATCATGTTGACCCCATATTAATCAACCCCAATGTGGAAATCTATATAAAATAGGGGGGGTGGTCCATTTCTGGGATTCGTGGCTGGAATCAGACCGCCGAAGTGGGGCCGAAACCACCGCCCCCATCCGTCAACACATCCTTGGAGCTCAGCCGATCTCCAAACCAGCTGCCTGGCGACAGAACTGGTGGATGTGGGACCTGACCTTTGATTTTTTGGATTTGGCTGTGGGTCAAAAGAGGTACTCAAAATGGGTTGCCCTGGCAAACGGAAACAAGGACTAAAACCTGTGGTCCCCTGGTGGTTCAATTTTGACCCATACCCATTTTGGGATGTTCAAGCCTTTGGACTTCTGGGCACTGTCCAAGACTCAATGGGTTGGGATGTGTGTGTTGACCTATGGTTCTCTTGAATCAACGTTCATGGGAGAGGTGACAGTGGCAGACATCAGATTCAAATCTCTGGGGATAAGATACAAAGCACACGCACACAAGGGATATGCCGACCATAAGGTGTTGAATGGGACTATTACACACATAAGCCCTTACTACAAACATAAGCCCTTACTACAAACGCAAGCCCTTACTACGGCTGCTTTTTGAAAAACAACACAAGTGAAAAACACGGAACAAAGGCCAACGCCTAGAACTCACCCAAACAAAGGAAACAAAGGGGTGACGTCCACACCTAGATACGAGACCAACCAACTGCACCCAGGACACATGCGTTTGCGAAAGCAACGTACAACATACCCAACCCCTGACCCCAAAGCTTGAACTGACCCAGGAAAGCCTTTAGAAGTCAAAGAGTCACAAAGGGCTGGGAGTTGTTCAAAGGAACACTCCTCATTTTTTGGGGGTCCAACCAACAAACAATCAAGCCACCCAAACGGGTTTTCAAGCATCCGACTCTGCCCCTCCATTTGCTCAAGTTCCCTGGGAAAAATATATTTCCAGTAGTGATAGATTCCCTTTAAAACCAACAGGGGAAAATAAAAAAAAATGGGTGTGGGTCAAAATTAAACCACCAGGGGACCGCAGATTTGAGTCCTTGGTTCCATGTACCAGGCTTCTATTTTGGGTACCCCTTTGTGAGCCCCAGAGTTGGCTATTGGGATATCAAAACTGGAGCTCCCCAGCTCCCTGTTCAAGCTCTCGAACCTGAAATCATCGGGGCTAGGAACATCTTTTTAGCCAGCTGGTTCCATTTACCAGGCTTCTATTTTGGGTACCCAGTTTCGACCCACAGCCAAATATTCTTCACCAATATTCTTCACCAAATATTTCCAGTAGTGAAATCGATTCCCTTTAAAACCAACAGGGAAAAACCAACAGAGCTGGGGTTATGCAGGTTTTAGTCTTTGGTTCCATTTACCAAGGTGCCATTTTGGTTTCCATTTCTTGGAGCCACGGGCAACTCAATCGAATTGGAGCTCCCATCCGGTTCCGCCTGCAGCAGCGGCTGGGCGTCCAGAGCCTCCAGCGCCGCCCGCTGCACCGGCCACGCCGGGTGCTGCACCTCGAGCGAACCCGAGTCATCCAAGCAGCGGAGGTGTGGGGAGTAGGGGGGTTGGGGGTGGGGGGGGGGGGGGAGAGGGAGAGGGAGACGCGGAGGTGTTGGCCTTTGTCCCGTGTACTTTTTACTTGTGTTGTTTTTCAAAAAGCAGCAGTAGGGCTTGTGTTTGCAGTAAGGGCTTCTGTTTGTAATGGTCCCATTCAACACCTTATGGCCAGAGAATTGAATCTGATGTGGAGGTGCGGGGTGTGGGTGTGGGGAGGTGTGAGGGGTTGGGGGGTGTGGGGTCGGGTAAAATCCCCCGTAAAACGCGGGTGAAGCACCAGCCATTCTCAAAACATGCGGGTAAGATGGTTGAAATGGACCCAGAACCCTTCAAGAATTCCAGAAGGCGAAGGCACCCATGATTTGGGGGGGCTATCCCTAACCTTCAACCTGCGTTTTGATTATGGCTCAAGTCCTCCAACCACTAAGGTAGTCTAAAATCCCGTGGGTGAAGCACCCTCATTCACCACTTCTTCTCTTGGTGCACAAACCCAGTCATTGTAGGATTTCTTCCAACAAATATTGCCCTGCTGGCTTTTCGGAAAGAAACCAACACAGAGCCCCAAAAGCCGCCCAGATTCCTTAGAGGACTCGCCAAAGGGCGACACCCACTTTTTGGGGATCTCCGTCAGTGGGAGAAAAAAAAGAAACGATAACAAAACAAACCGGTGACACGGTCTCTATACATATATATATATATATACACTATATTATGTATGCGTAGATTTCTGAAGACTCTGATGGCTATGGGAAAGAGTTGTTCCCAAGGCGGAACAAACAGCGGCCCAACGCAAAGGACACGGGGGCACCGGCCCACTGTTCATGCCCCTGTTCATGGTGCTCCTGATGCAAGGCTTTGGGCTTCAAGAGGACCATGTGGTCCAAACAGGACACAAGAAGTGGACCATTCCAGAAAGTGGGATACTGTTGAGGTTTCCACCTCGAGATTGCCTCCCACCTTTCTTATGGAACCTGTCTGGAGGTGCCGGAGGGTTTTGGTCTTCCACAACCCCCCGGTCAGGTGCCGTGTTTATTGGTGAGAGGGTACTGCCGAAAACTGCGGAACTTTTGCGTACATAGCTTTTTCTGGGGTGCGCGCCATAAAGAAAGCCTGTTTATGCCACTTGCACCATCCTCTGGTCGGTACACCCCGGTTCAATTGGAACACACTGCCGAGGAATATGAAACCGTTGGCCCCTCCGGTCACAACAAAACGCACCCGGTTCCGTGCCAAGGCGCATCTCCCCGCAAGAGCAAGGGGCCTTTACCCCAAGGCCAGGCAGCATACACGGAGTACCTCGGGCAAAGAAAATTGGTCTCCCCAAACGCCAATTCTGTGGATGGTTGCGAAATCTATTTGGCACCACTTAAGAAACCCTCTGGCGATTCCCCTGTAAATACCAACAAACAGTAGTTACCCATGGCTTCAAAGTAGTGTAGGATTTGGTCCATCAGTATGTGTGAAGAGAAACCTAAAGAAGTGGATGCTTTCAGCAATGCTGGTGAACGGCTCGGACTTTGCCTTACCTTCACTTGGGAACTTAAGGGAGGTTGGGTATACAAAGAGGAAACCGGTGTAGGGATCTCAAAATAAGGAGACCCACCCCCACAAGTTGTGGCTTTCCTTTTAGTTTCCTTGAACACCAACCTTGAAATGGTAGCCAATCAAAAAAAATAAAAATAAAACAACAATAAACAAAAATTGGCGAACCTCGGGTACGGGATCTCGCAGGTTGGCCCGGGGGGGAGGGGGTGCTGAGAGGGGACTGATGTTCAAATACAGTTGGTTCTTGGGATAGCAAAAATGGAGTTCCCTAGCTCCCCGCTCAAGTTCACGAAGCTGAAATCACCGGGGCTGGGACATGATTGTCTTAGGGGTGCAGCTCGCGTCATGCGAGGATGTTTCTTGTATTTGTAGATATATTTGAGGGTCCCGGGTACCTTTTTCTTCGATGGTTCTAAGGGACAACCAAAAAGGTTTTGGGTACCAGGCCATTTTGCAGCCCAGAGAAATCCCCAACTTGGACCCGCCGGGCTCAATCCATCTGGGCGCTCCGTGTGCGAAATGGATGGCGCTGGAGAAGATTGGAACCAAACCGATTTATTGGTGGAGCCAATCCGTCTCTTTTCAACTGACCTAGAAAGCCCACCCATGTTGTATTAAAAAATAGGAAACCCTTGAAAGAGCAAACAGGAGGGATGTGAGTATTTGGCATTTTCTTTGGCAAACTTCCTAGGTCCTCCAGTAAAGAGGTTAGAATCAGGGTTCTTTCTTTTGTAGTCTATTTTAGTAGGGGAAGCCTCCCCCCCAAAAAAGTAAAAGGGCACTACTGGGGGACCTAGCTTCCAAAAAGGGGGATCCTCGGCGGCTCGATTTCCCCGGCAACAGTGTGGCTGACCCACCGCGCCTCTCCACGAACCACGCGGCCTGCCGCTTGAACTCCTCCTCGTCTTCTCCGCCGGCGTCGAACCCTTCGGCTCCCGGCAGACGCCAGCGGGCGGTGACCGTGGGGTGGCGGAAGAGCCCGGAGCGCCGGGAGGAGAACTCGAAGGTGAAGCCTGAGATCCGTCTGGACTGGGCCAGTGACGCTCAGTTGCTTTCTGCTCCCCTGCGAAAAGTGACTCACCTTTAGTGGCTTAATGGAAAACCCGCTTGTTGGCAAAAAGCTAAAGTCCTAACATCCAAGCAAAATGCACCAATTGGGTTGGGTCAGAGGGTTTGCGGTTTGCTTGACCCCTAAATAAATCCCCCCAGTTGTTAATCAGGTGGGCCCCCTTGAAAAGGATTCTTCGCTAAAGGCCCAACACCCAGTAATAAGTGAGGGTGTGTCATTACTGGGTTTGTGGTCGGAGGGTTTGTTTTTGCCTACCATCAAAATAGGGACATCATGGTAGGAAAACTAAATCAACACCTTTAAAAAGCCTACACTCAACAAAAACCACCCTCATGGCGACAAATGAATCAACCTGGCAAAGCGTTGCACTCCAAACATCAGCCAGGGGCATATCTTAGTTTGTGGTTCCAAACATCTGCCCTGGGGTCCAAATAGTTATCATCACGCTTGGTGAAGCCTGAGACTTCCCAGTTCCACATCGCATTCAGGTCACACCCATTTGGTAAAGATACCTGCATGTGGCTTCCCGAGACCGGAAGACAAAAACACACCTAGTTCACTAGCCCACACTGGCCAACACCTCGGCATTCACCAGGGCTCATAATTCAAGGGGTATGAATTCTGTTCAAATGGCCGAAACGGTTTCCCAGTGCCTGTTGAGAACCTCTTGCCAACCCTGGAAGGGGAACCCTTCCAAATGGCCATTGCCATGAAACAGTTTTTTTTGTGCTTCATCCACACAAACAAGTGAAGAACGTGTTTTTGGAACCCCCAAACTATATGCCCAACTGCTGCGCTGCTTGATTCACAGGGTTTCACAGATACATCCACAAAATCACCTGAGTCACAAGACGATCCTCGAAACCAGCCAGTAAACTATGGCCAGAATGAGTCAGCTTACCCTTCACGAACACCTCTTCCAGCAGTGCTAGATTCTCTTGAACACCAACCAGGTTGTTATTCTTTACATCTAAGAAACTGGAAGAACAAGGAGCCCTTTGCTTCGGCCAGCTCTCCCCCGCCTGGCTTGCCCACTTCCACTTGTTCCACTTGTTGCTTGAAGGGCTCCATGTCCACGCTGCGGGACATGCTGGCCGGGAAGTAGGGGATGCCCGCCAGGCGCGCCCCCAGGGAGGCCAGCACGCCTTGCGAGAGATGTGTGGGGAGGAGCCGCAGGGAAGGAGCCCCCAGGAAAAAAAAAACACGCCCAACTGGTGTCCCTTAAAGGGAGGACCCCAGGAAAAAAACAAGCAAACCCAGCTGGTGGTTTTCCATGGAGCAAGGGACCCCCCAGGTTCATTCCAACTCATTCACCTATAGCACCAAAAGCCATCAGTTCAACTGCTGGCTTTCCATGAAGAAGGGGATCTGGGGCCCAGGCTCATTCCAACTCATTCCCGACCCAACAGCACCACCAAGAAAAGGACCTATTAGAAAGTTAAAATGCAAATTGTAGTCCAAAGGGTCCAACTTGGTACCTCATATTTGCGGAATCCCCTTGAACCAAACCCAAAAACCGTGAATATTGGGTAGCGCTTGGCACTTTCTGGAGGTTTTTATTCCAAACATCTGAAATAAGACCTTGGATCCCGGCCGAGCCTGGGCCATGGAACCAGAATCGATCCCGCCAGCTTCCCTCTGATTCGTGGTTTGGAGTCCGCTGGTTTGGTGAGATGGTTTGGAGTCTCAGATTTACTTTAACCTCTAGACTGGGGTCAAATCCAAACCAACTACAAGCTACCTGAATTCTTATTTTTTTTTGGGGGGGGGGCGGGGGTTGAAATCAAGGCCAACACCCGTTGAGTGGCAGGTTCAGCTTGGGGGCAAGAATTGGGGCCTGAGGCCTTACTTTGCTTGTTATTGGGGTTGAAATTCCGGTTTGCCTCACGCCCCAAAAAAAACAACGGTGTACAACTCCCAACTTCGTGGTACCTGCCCCAAAGAGTACCATCGCCTCCGAGCCCCAAACATCTCCTTGGAGTGTTTGAAACAGCACGCAAAGAAACCAGCCATGCTTGGGAGAGAGCAACAAGGTGGCAGGAAGTATCCAAATGTTGTTCCCTGTAGTGTTACCTTCGAGAAACAACACCAACTCCAAACGGAGCCGTCTCCACGACCCTTTAAAAATGGGTCAATGACCCCATTATTTTGGGTAATGCCCCCATTGTTAAAGGGTCGTGGAGACTCCAGGCACGAAGCAGAGACGTCCGGAAATGGCATGTTCCCCTTTTCGGCGGGTTTCCCTTTGGCCCGCCCTTCATTGACCCACGCGAAGGCGAAGTCTCGCCCGAGTGGCTGGAGCACTCTAAGGACCAAAAGAAGATGCCCGGCACCCCGTTGTGCCGCACGTAGGTGCCTTGGCCCGTTGCCCAAATGGCCTTGCCGCAAGGGTTGCGACTGTTTTGGGTCCTCAAATGGGTATGGGTCAAAATTAAACGACCAGGGGACCACAGGTTTTGGTCAAAACCTGGTACATAAATGGTTGACCCAGAACCATGTAAAGAACTATGCAGACGACCGCAGCTATTTATGGCTGGGATCGTCCCTTACGAACCTTCACTTACCCGGGTTTGGATTGTGGCTCAAATGGTCTTGCCCTAACGGTTGCGACTGTTTTTGGGTCCTCAAATGGTTTGCAGCGGGTGTGGGATTTGTCTGGGGTTGCTTTGGGGAAGGGTGGTGGAGCGGGGGTGAAAAGATTGGGGCAAGGTAGTCTGACATGCGCGCTTTGCCTAGCTGCAAGTGTTTAACTCACAAACAATGAGTCCAGGTACCCGAGCAGCAACCCTTCTGGAACCCTTCTGGAACCCCAACACGAACCCGGGGCAACACACACACACACCATCAAAGGTTTGGATATCCCAGACACTCCTCACAATCATGGTGTTTGTGTGTGTCTTTGGCGGTCCTCTCCTTTTTCTCTTCTAAACACCCACTAAAACAATGAAACCAACCACGAAACAAACAAACACAAAAAACAACACACAAACACCACGAGCTTTCCGCGGAAAACTCGGCTCCAGCCGTTCCCAACCCCCCGAGAAAAAGAAAAAACAAAACGCAACCCGTGTTTTTTTCCCCTGTCGAGTTTAGGCGCGCACGTTGGCGCCCAGGTGGTCGATGGGCGGCAGGCAGCGGCCGAGTTGCGAGGAGACCCCGCGCTCTGTCAGCAGCACGAGGCCCACCCAGGCAGAGCCGTCCATGATGTCCGGCTCCAGGCCCCTCACACCGCTGCGAGCTTTTGGAGGGTACCGGTGCCTTTTTTCCGTCGATTTTAGTAGGGAAACCCTCCCCCAAAAATGGTAAAAGGGCACTACTGGGCTACTGGGGGACCTAGGAGGGGAGGCCGAAAAAAGCGGCGAGGACAACAAAGGCGAGTTGCCTGGCGAAATCTGGGTTTTGTGGATTGGTGGTTTGGAGGTCCGTGGGTTTTGCGGGGTGCAAGCGGCAGATTTCAGACTTCCTCAGCTTCCTTCTAGTTTGTTTGGATTGGCGGTTTGGAAGTGGGGCGGATTTCCCCTTTGGGCTCCAAAAAGAGCCGAGGGTTGAAATCCACAAACTACCAATCCAAACCACCGACTCAGAGTTACCTGACGCGTCTTGGGTACACAGAACACCAGATGTTCAAATTCTGTTTGATTGTTCGTCGACCCTAATATCACGAATTGGCTTTGGAGGTATCGAAAGCAAGAGGCATGGCTATGTCTCCAAAACGACGGGCGAAACTTGCCGTGTTGGGGTTCGGAGGCCGGAAACAAAAAGTAAGCACTGAGCTACTTTGTGCCATGATTTCCGGTTGATTTGTCTAATTTCACCTCCCCACTCGCACTCCTACCGTGCTACTGTGGATGGACAAAATGCTGCATTAGTCGGTGGCTCATCCCAGCGTTCATAGAGCTCTATCGCAACTGGTGCCACGGATTCTGTCCATCCACACTCTCCCAGTGCTTCCGGTTACCGCTATAGTAGGTAGGTGTCTTACATCTGGGTTTTACCATGGATGGTTCCCCCTGGTTACCAGCTATAGCTGCTAGCCCGGAAGCACAGTACTTCCATTTACTTAAGCCCTCCGGAAAAAGCATATATGTCCAATAGCAGTCATCAGAGACGACTCGATCCCCGATCCGTCGTCCGACGTCCGCCTCGGAAGCAGTTCCGCAAGGTGCGGCGCAGGAACGGGCCAGTGCACGAAGAGGGCGTTCTCCCATGCGTCGTGCTTCATGAAACCTCTGCACCCGCTCGACCGGGGGCGTCTCCGGTCAGGAGCCGAATCTCAAAACTAGGCAGCATGACTCGCAGTTGTATATTTTGGGTGGTCCTGAATTGAAATAACAAATGATCGCCTCTGGGATTTCCACTAAGCCCAACAAAAGAACCCCTGAGCAACCAACGCACAGATCAGCGATCACCTGCCTGAGAATGGTTGGGAGACCCAAAGGCTTCAAAGGTTGAGACGACTGCTGAGTCAAAGTTCAACCGCCAACGCGCCACATCTCGGACGCCCTCGTTGCACCGCATCCATCTTTGGCTGTGGGTCAAAGATACGTACCCAAAATGGGTTGCCCTAGTAAGTGCAAACATGGACCAAAACCTGCAGTCCCCTGGTAGTTTAATTTGGACCCCTCCATCCATATCCTTCCGAGGCTCGAAACTTGAGGCGCCGCTTTGCGATCAACGCTTGCGACGCTTCGATCTCCGCCATGGCTCACTTCTTCGCTTCCGAAGCGACCGGTCTCGTTCAACGCTTCCAATGATCCGGCGGATCGCACCGTTTGGATGACAGAGGGCTTCCCGAGGTTCCATGAATTCCGCTTCCAAGTTCTGGGCTTGCATAAATTTAGAGAAAAAACGCGGTTTCCTGTAGGACAGGTTCCCCTAAACTGCTTGGATGTTGGCGATTTCCTTGCCCTCTGAAACCATGTCTCTGCTTGTCTTTGTCTGAAGGATTGGCGCAAAGAACTCAGCCTTCGACGGATCATTTCTCTCCTGAAAGAAGAACTCGACTCTCTTTTTCGATGGTCTCTTCTGGGAGGGTCAAAAGGAACCTCACTGGCTGAGTGGACCAAAACTTTATATTTACCACTAAAATGGTCTTCCCAAAAAGCTTACAGTTCATGAACTCAGGAAGTGAGGAACACACCAAAATTTGGAGGGGTGCTGTAGTATTTCAGGACACAGACAATGAAGGGAGCTTCGGGCTAGCCGCGCTTCACTAGTTGGAACCTGAGGATCTGAAGCGGCTGCGGGTGTGCTTGAATTGCATGCAGGCGTTCGTCTTTTCTTGAGGGTACCCCTAGCACCCCCCCAACTTTTTGTTTGGTTTCAAAGGAAAACTAAAAGGAAAACAACAACTGTATTATGCGGGTCCCCTAAACAAGACACGCCCAATATCAATTGAAGTCATATATACCCAAAGATCTTGCCTTCCTTGATTCCTCTTTCAGTTCGACCAACACGTGAAACCAGGTTTAGACACACACCCTTACACCATTTGAGATAAAGCATGCCGCTGTCAACTTCTGGGATGACCAACCAAACATGAGCGAAGCATCAGATTCCTCAAAAGATGGCCCACGCCATCGCAATGTCCAACACTGGATGGCTCACATTAAGCACCAAACACAGGTTGCTGCTGTTGATGTCGGATCCAAAATAGGTAAAGCTCCGACAACAAACACAACTCCATCGGCAATCTTTCACATTCGGCGGCAGTCAAGCCTCCCCCCCCGGATGGACAAAATCCTGCACCAAATTGAAACCAGAGGAAACCATTGTTTGTTGGTATTTGCAGGGGAATCATCATTTGCGGGTTGCCGTGCAGGATTTCGTCCATCCACACTAGGAGTCGGGTTCCAGCTTCCATGGCACTCTTGGTCACTCCAATTTGGCTCACAGAATCGAACAAGTCAGGAAACGAGGCTTCGTTCTTCCGAGCTGAAAAATCTAATAAAACCAACCCTCCAGAGATTCTCCGACCTACTCCTTTGGTAGTACATGGAATCCCCAATCGAGTATCCATTCGCTCAATTGCTCGTTGATGTCGTACTCTTTTCCGGGCTGAAACAAATGAACGCAAAGGAAACTGTGCACCGCACAACTGGGGGAGGCGTTTTAAACGGAAATCAGAAGGGAAACACCCAGCATAGGACCTGACGATCAAACCAGCGAAAAATTCACCATGTTTCCCGGCACGTGTTGCTTTTTTTGCTGACTCGTGACCCAGGATGGCTGAATCTTCAAGGCCCCCCAGCTTTGGCGATGTGTTTCTCCAGGTCCTTTTTTGCCCCCTGAAAAACAAAAGAGCATATTTGAAAAGAGTGAAATGGATTCCTTTCAGACCACCAGGGGAAAATCAACTTAAATATTCAGCCAATGGAAGTCATTGCCGCCTCCACCTATCCGCCTCCCCCACCATCCGCCTCCACCTGTCCACCTCCCCCACCCATCCACCTCCTCCCACCTATCCACTCCCCCCCACCCACCTGTCCACCTCCCCCACCCCCATTTTTGGTTTCAGTGATTCGGTCGTCGCAGCCTCTCGACGGCTTTGGCTCCCCTGCAAGCCGGCAGCAGCGCTCGACAGCAAAGGCGAGGCTCGGGGCCGCGCCAGCGCTATCTTGGTGTCGGGAGAGGGTGGGGGTGGGGAAGGGAGGAGGGTGATCCTCGGCTTTTGTTGAGGGTCCACTCTTGTAGCTTTGCTTTGTGGGAAACAGTGATTCACCACCATTTTCTGGGTTCCTGCAAACACTGGACTGTTCAAAATAGAGTCTTGGCCAATCCGATATTCCACAATCCCTATTGGAAAGCCAGGAACCAAAGGCGACTTACGTAAGCCCAAATTACAACCAGCACCGATCTCAGTTGCAACCTGTGATTTTTTCGGTAGCACAAGGGAAGCCTTTTGGCACGAGGCTTTTTCAAGCCCGGTCGAATGCGCGGGTGAGAGGGGCATGCCGCCCACCAGTTGCCCAAACACACCGCCAGGTTGAGCCTTCCGAGCTCCAGAACGTAGAAAGTATCTCCACGACAAAGTCCAGGAACTCCTCCAGGAACGGCACGGACGAACACCTCCAAGCAAGAGCTCACGCGAGCGCCAACATCCCAAAGAACTGAAGCAACAAAGGAGAAAGGTGGCTTTGGCAGAAGGGCCCGAATGCACAAAGAACACGCCTGATCCGGGCAACGGCAGGAGCCAAGGCATGCAGATCCAAGTTGATGCAAACTTCCAGTAGACGAAGGGACTGCAGGTGAGGCGTCTCAGGGGATGCAACTAATTGACAAGGACAGTGTCAATAGATGTGGTCCGGTCGGGACATTATTCGCCCACGTTTTGTCTTTGGAGGCCCAGTCGCAAGCCGGGTAGGAGATAGGAGTCCCCAGCAAGAAACGAGTAGCGTCGAGACCCTGACCCAACCCACAGGAGAGCAAGGGCGCGAAGGCCAGCCACCCCACTCAACCTGACGGACACCATTCACATCAGGAGTGACGGGCAAAATTATCCCGCAACCTGGCCTTCTGTGTACTCAAACAGAATTGGATGGGCAATGAGCGAGCCCACATGAGACTGTGAAGGGTCCTACCAGGAAAGCCGAGACTAGCATCAACACGAGGATGGCCATCTTTGGAGACGCTCGCGCGCAACGCAAACTGAGAGTCAACCTTGTGGGACGGAGATGGAATTCTTCAGGCCCATGAAGGTCTCACCCAAGGGTAGCGTCCAAGACGCCGGCGAGAAGCAAGCCGATGACAGAGAACCAGCTGGGTGAAGAGGCCCCGTCGCCAGATCATGTTCAGCGCACAAGGTGCGGACTGCCGGGTGGCGCAAAGTGGCCCCACCCGCCAGGAGATGATGCCAGCCCATGAGCGTCACGGTGGGCATGGAAGAGAGGCTATGGAGATGTGGAGGCCGACATCCGACACATCCGCCAGGATGGACAACTCAGCAGGGGGTAGGGCGCCTTTGGATGTCTAAGGAAGCCTCAGGGCGGTGGTTCACCCGGTTACCATGCCAAGCAACGGGGGTCAACTTCCCGGAAGACAGATGCCTCAGCCATCAGGGTGTCCAAGACAAGGGACCAAGGGGCCGCGCGACAGCGTGCCGGGCTACAAAGGTGGAAGGGGGGCCCCAACCACAAAGCCACCGCACCAGCCGCACGCACTTGGCAGCAAGCGGCGCGGCAAATCAGTCCACGGGATTGACCCATTCTAGCGGGGTCCCGAACCTACTACCAAACAAAGAGGAGTTAAATCGGTGCCACTGAACAAGGGGGGCATTGGTCGCACTTTTTTGTTCTTCTTTTTTTTCTTCGGGGGGCCAATGGACAAATCCGGGGTCACCACTTCACAGCAACAGCAAAAGATGCCTCTGGCAAGGCGGCCTTGGGGTGGGAGGGTTCCAGGCACCTTCCGGGGATGAACCCAACTTGGGGCCTGAGCCACTGGTGGCTCCGTCTGGATTTTTGAATCACATAGTCTGAAGTCACGCCTGGGAGGTCATCCCCAGGCGTGAGTTCAAAATGTGCGATTTAAACAAGACAAACACTGGAGCCTGCAGGATTTCAAAAGAAACAGCGGGACCCCCAGGCAAGAAGAAAACAATTAAGAAGAACACACACACACCGGGACTGTGGTGTCGCTCACTCACGCGCTTGCTCGCCTCTTCTGTGAAAAAACACACCAACGTGATAATCCAAAATGAGGAGTTTCAAAATAAATACAGCTGGTGTGAATTCAAAAAAAGTTCCACGGCCAACTCATGCTGCTACCGCAAAGGACGTGGACAAATTAGGATTTCCCGCGGTCTTTGCGGGGGAATTTAATCAGAGTACCCCACGTCCCTCCAAGACCCGCGGACAAATCGTCGAATCGGGAATATGTTTTTCCCAGTGAATTTCTTTCAGGAGACCCTTTTCGGAAACCGCCTTCGTCAGGGGAGTATTCGGGTGGCTCATCCTTTCTTTTTTGCGGGTACCATTTCTGGGTTGGTTTTAAAAGGAAAACAGGAGGACACCCTCCAACTTAACTTGGAGGGACACCTATTTTGAGACGAACCAACTTGACGTGGCACTAAAATGTCAGCAACCCGGCGACCCAACCAAGGTGAACAGCAATGAAGTATCATGCAGGTGAATAGCTTGGCCAAATTTGACCCCTTTGACCAGACAAAATCAAAAACAAAAACACTTTCTGGATGGTTAATAAGAAAGCCAAAGACACGCAACATGGCACAAGGGCAACCATATCAGCTAAGCCTGGCCATGAATGTATGTTCTACGATGCAAAAAGAGTGTCAATTTGTAAGGGTTCCGTTTTCGGCTTGGTTTGAAGGTAAACCAAAAAGGAAGCCACCGTCTTTTTTTGGCTCCTTAGTGTAACACACACACACACACACAAATATGCCGTATGCTAAGCTACGGGCTGTCTGCAATATCCTGCGGTCGGGAAGCGACCTCATTGCGCGGTCGTTGCTGAAAGAAAAACGCCATGAACAAATGTCCCATGTCCCTCCCAAATCAACCGTAGACTGCCCCAGTTCTTCCGGGCAAGCCACTATAGTTGGTAACTAGGGGAACCATGCTAAAACCTTGAGGTAAGAAACCCGAAGGGTTCCCTAGTCTAGTTCTAGGGGTACCTCCCCCATTCTTTCCAGGGATCCTTCTTTCTAGAAAACCTCCAGAACCCCGGGGAAAACGGCCGGTGTTCGACAAGAACGATGGTTGAAAAGAATGGACAAGGAACCAACCCCTAGAATAGTGGTAAC